CATTTCCTCGACGGCGAACATGTATAGGCAACATCTAAACACTTAATTCCTCGACAGTGAATACTTAGACACATAGTTCCTCAATCATAATCTTGATTTTACAATTTTAATATTTATGTATATAATAATATAAATCGTTATTATATACATATATTATTAATAAATATTGTAAATTATATTGAATAATTTTATTTTTAATCATCATTTTAATCTCACGCACGTCACAGCCATCGTGTATGTGGTATACTATATAACACTGGTTTGCTGGTTAGATATATAGATAGACATAAAGTCAAAAGCCCTCTATTATCGAAAAAATAAACCGTACATTTCTCTCTGATGACTTTAATAATAATGATGATAATAACGACATATCTTAAAAAATCATAGATTTAGAATTTGCATCACAATATCTCTGCTCGTAGGGCACGTAGAAAAAAAATAAAAGCATTTTTATCATATAATTTGATTAGTGGCTATCGATTGAGCGTATATAGAATTTGATCAGTTCAGCCGTTATTGAAATCTGATATAATAATCCTCCGCAACTCGTCGGCTCTCGTAAAGTAACCACAGCAGTGTCGCTGCGCTTGACTTAACGCCAAGACACTAGCTGCGTTCGGCAATGCAAATCTGAGGTGTCGGAGTGCTCTTTTTCTATAGTGTACGTGACATATGCTATAACATAAGAGCACTCCGACGCCTCAGATTCGCTATTACCGAACGCAGCTACTACCTTATCTTCAGATTAGTAATGTGATATCATTTAGATCGAAATATATCATATCACTAACTAGATTAATCCTAATCAGAGTGATTAATTTTACTAAACAACAAACGCGATTAGTCAGTTCCACAACCGATTAAGCAATTGGCGTTTGTGAAACTAGCCCAAATGGTTTTTTTTTTACAAAAAGCACGTACTCTTAGCGCTTTTTTTGCATTTTTTTTTTAAAGGTAAGTTTAATACAACGATAGAATTTAACTTGATTGTACATATCACTAGAGTTAAGTAAATTTTATAACAGCAATTTTTATGTAATAAATGTAGGAGAATAATTCTTTATTTAGTTTCTCGACGGTAAATATCTAGATACCCACTTTCTCGACGTCGAATATGTCGACAACATCCAGATATTTAATTCCTTGACGGTAATTACCTAGATACTTTTAGTTCCTTGACAGTAAACATCTACTTCCTCGACGATGAACATTTAAGACACCCATTTCCTCGACAGCGAACATTTAGATACCCATTTCTTCGACGGCGAACACTTAGGACATTTGGTTTCTCGACAGCAAACATGTAGACAACACCTAGACGCTTAATTTCTTGACGGCATTTACCTAGATATTTAGTTCCTTGACGGTGAACATCTAGACACCCATTTCCTCGACGGCGAACATCTAGAAATATATGTTGTAACAAGAATCTCTTTGTTCCGTGAACCGAAATATTAATCGTTAAAGTCGATTATTCAGGTTAAAAAATCTGTCGTAGTCTCTACAGAGTGTAAAATGTGCAGAATTGTGCAGAATTGTCGCAATGCTCGCTAATCATGTATTTCTAACGCCTCTTGCGTCAATGACATACTTAAAATCACAGGTCATTTCGATTGAGTGTACGTAGAACTTAATCGGTTCAGCCGTTATTGAGATCCAATAATTTCAATCTCCCGCAACTTGTGGTCTCGCGTAAAGGAAGTGTTGCTGCGTTTGGCTTAGCGCCAAGATCATTGATATGTATAACTATCATTGATATTTAGAACTAGATCGCTGACTCCCCTATATATTGAGCATAAAAATTGATTCCAAAACCTGTGTAGTACATAGCGTGACGTCGAAATAAAATGGTCACGTGGTCACGTAATGTGTAATGGTCGCGATATGACTACATGTTACGTGATACATGCATGACATTTGTGCTCTTTGTTAAAAGTCATAATGCCGATACCTTGCCGCATGAAAAGTTGTCACAATTTAAATGAAAAAGAGAATATGGAGATAATATTCACAGGTAAGGCTGCGTTCTCATGGAGACAAAAATAGCGGAACGGAACCAAAACGGAATTATTCTGATTGGTGTTCTACTGAAACTGCTCTATCGGAATGTAGTGTCCTTATCCAATCAAAATATTACAATTCCATTTTGGTTCCGTTCCGTTATTTTTGTCTCCTTAGGGGTGCAGCCTAAGTTGCAATCAGTCTAGAATTTCATTGACCCTCCGTTAAATTGTTTGGTACGTGTATCAAATTAATGCAGATTAAGCATTTGATAGGTCCCTGTTTACATTGATTTATCCGAAAACAGATTAAGTTAGGTTTTTAATCCAGATAAAGTCTCAACTCGGCAATTTGAATAAAAAGTAACGAAAAATTGTGAGTAACTGTCGGTTTATGGTCGCTGGTTTAAATTCAATCTCGGTTCTTGTTTAGTATTGGGAATACAAGGTAACTAAAAAAACATATATGAAGCATACCATGAAATACGGAACAAGAATCCAAGTCCTGAGAAGAAGAGTAGAAAAGTCACTCTTTTGCACGACATTTTTACTGTCGAGATAAAAGTTTTTGATCATCACTATATTTAATAACCTGAACTTGTAACAGTAAATAGCGAAATTCAATAATCCAAAACATCCAAAACGAATCAATCGTTTACAGCGCAATAGAACCTTTTGATACGCGTACCAACTCGATCTGATACGATTCGGTAATATCAGACTAAAGTAATCCCCTAACGTTTATACCGAATGTATCAAGTGCAACAATTAATTGCAGTTAACCGTGCAACATGACACGGTTAACTTTAACCAAGTTTACATTGACATCCTCAACAAACTATAATATTTATGTCCACTTTATATACATGCCAATAGTTATATTATAAGCATAATATAACTATTGGCAATAGTTTTATTATAAGCATAATATATAATACATGTAAAGCATACGTATAATACATATCAGCAGCTACATTAAAGTTTGAATGTTTTTAAGGTTTCCGTATGATTCTTACTCGCGACGAATTGTAGGTTCTTCGTAAACATCGCTGACTCTTATTCGTAAAAAAATTTAATCGCTAATAAGCCATACAGAGTCAATTGTTTATATAATACACTCTAAATTTCTTGGACTGAAATTTCAGTACAAGAGACTGAATTTTCAGTCCAGAGAATGGATGAAGATGCTCCAGTTTATTGGACTGAATTTTTTAATCCAGGATTAGACTGACAATGAAACTATCTCAGTCCTGTCTTGGACTGAATTTTCAATCTAACAGTACTTAGACGCTTGATGCTCCCATGTAAAAGCCATGTAAAGGCACCTTTAAAGTCTGCGAAGACCACGACCGCAGTATTTGCCGTTCCACTAGTTTACGGGCGCTCCGGGCGAAATCTAGCAGACGACGAAACGACCACGCTGACCCACTGACGAACCATGAGCGTCGTGAGCTCAATGCAGTTGCGATTAATGACGTCATATATGACGTTTTGATCGCGACCATAACGAACGCGGTCGTTATATGGAACGGATTTGTGGGCGTTGCGAGCGTTGCGGGCGTTTAGTGGAACGCATTCTGGGGCTGATTTCAAGCGGTATTTCAGTTTAACTTAAACTGAAACGCGCTTGAATCCGAACTTAGGACTGAATAATTTCAGTCTCACGTAAAGATTGAATTAATCTTCTAATAAATTGAAAAATCAGTTCATGAGATTGAAAGCATGTTCAACCATTTTTTGGACTAAAAATTCAGTCCAAGAAATTTAGGCCAGTATTCATAGTCGATTCTTATATTCAAGATTGTCTTAAGTATGGTCTTAAGATGTCACGAACCAATCAAGAAGCCGCATTCGCGTCTTAAGAGATTACTTAAGACAGTCTTGAAATGAGAATTGACAATGAATACCGGCCATAGAGTGTAGTACATCTAACTGAAGTTAGTTTGTACAGAAGATCAGTACAAAGATCAGCTGTGGGCTCGATATTCTCATTTTTTATTGGTCGCTATCAACCAATCAGCAAGCGGAACCCAATTGCGTTTCTTTGATAATATAGGATTCTATATAAAAGAAACTGATGTTAAGTATTCTGATTGTTACAATCATGCGTCCTACCAGCCAATCATGAGACTGATTTCTTGGTATTACAAATGGCTGCTTATTCATAAGTCCTGCAAACGACGCCATTTTAATATTATTTCGCGATATTGACATAAGTCGATCATGCTTCTTTTATATGTATAATATATCTAGGACTCTAGTGCGCTTTAAATTCTTTTTTAATTCTTTTGTTAATAACTTTTTAACGAATAACGTCCGACATCTAAAACTTGTTGGAGGTTACTCAGGGTCATGACTTTAACAGCATACATCAAGGTGAAGATTATCGGGATTGGGTTCCTACAGGCCGGTATTCATAGTCAGTTCTTATATTCAAGACCGTCTTAAGTTTAGTCTTGAAGAGTTACGAACCAATCAGAACCGGCCAGAGAATCGCTTTAGCATCTTAAGACATTACTTAAGACAGTCTTCAAGTAAGGAGTGATTATGAATACCGGCCATAGTAAACAATTACCTTATTTAATATGTTGTGTGTAATATAATTTAAGGAATTATTTTATTTTGTGTTGCAGATTTTTTCGAGGTAGTAGCGAACAACAACTTCAATTATGAAGATTACGTGACACGTGCGCATGTTAAAATGCGTTAGAGGCTGTGATTATTTTATCTAAATAAAGTTTGAATAATTGAATATTTTAAAACAATAATTTTTATTTTAAGGATAATTTAACGATCGATGTATCAATCAATACTCTAGTGCTTTCATTAATTGGAAAAATTGAGAACGGTTTGAGTTTTAATACGGCAAATTTATCGAAAATATTTTTTTGTCGTTAAGAAGCAACTGAAAAAATTTAAAATTCTTAGTTTTGTATATATATGTAGCATACATATATAAATATACATATATATGTATATACATACAAATATAAGTCGCAAGCTCCAGTAAAGCAAAAGAAGAGGAAACATTGATTAGAAACGAAAACGTCAAGAAAATACTTAATATTACGGGATTAGAAGTGGGATTTGTCAAGCTTTCCAATTTAATAAATGGTTATGTAATATTACGATACAATGAAGGGTTGGAGGTTGTTACGCGGAAGGTCGTCCTGGCAGCCTCATCCCGGTTAAGAGGTACAATAAATCTATCGACGACGACTACGACGAAAGCGACGACGATAACTTCCATTATGGATACCAGTACCGATTCGAATATGGATATGGACACTGATAATAGTGCTTCTACAGGTATTGGTACCTCTGTTAACACGACATCCGTGACATTGGTTAAGGCTGAAAGACCAGATCATCTGACTGGGACGTCGACGTCACCTGTGACGGTGACTACTGGAACAATTGTTACTGAAAGTAATCTCTTTACCGGTATTGCTAATAACAATAAAATAACTAGATCGGACGATTGGCTAACGACGAACAGTCCGGAATCGCCGCAGAATTCCTTACCGAGTCAGAATGTGGTTTATTCTACTTCCCAACAGCAATTATCGGAACAGCAATCTTCAATGGCCCACTCCAGTCCGCTCGCACAACAACAACAGCAAGTTAGCAATAACGGATATGCCAGTCCCATGAGCACCAGCAGTTACGATCCATATAGTCCCAACGGTAAAATAGGTAAGTATCATTGCTTGGATAAATTTTGCAGATTATAAAAATTACTTTCGCAGATACAAAAATACAGCATACATGTACACATTCAGGATTATTATTTAATGAAAATGTGTTTATAATCATATTTATAAGATTTGCATTATTGTATAATTTAAAAATTATTGTAAAATTAAACAATTAAATTTTTTTGTTATGTTTTTAAAATTTAAAACTAATAATGCTCTTTGAAACATATTATTTTGAATGAATGTGTATTTTAACAAATAAAAAATGTTTTATAATAATTTAAAAAAAATGTCTTTAAAAAAATAAGTTTTAATTATACATTTGAGGCTTTCACGGGTGTTATCTTCAATTATACCAGAAGGCTTGGGTTATCGCCGTGTCTTTCTTCATCCTTAATGCCGACGTTTCGTGAACCATGCTGTTCACTTCATCAGGGCGAGGAGTGCACTCCTAAAATATATATATAAAACTGGTATGTTAAGTTAGCATCCCAACTATAGTACTCAGGAGTTCTGATTAGAGTTCCCACTTCCTTTTGACAAAACGAAGAGTTCCCTATAGTTAATAACAAGAGTTCCGCTCAATAAACATTTTTTTAAAATGGGGTGCTAACTTTTTATCGAATTTCGAGGTGGAATAGTTCTGAGCGGCTTAATAGCTTCAATTTGCGATTGCCTAGAGTTCCTAATCATCATATCTTAAAATTGGCGTGTCACGCTTTTTTGAAGCCTTTATTGAGGCTGTTCGTATTCTCTGATTTTGATGTGGTTCCGTATCCGGGGGTTTTCGGGGTCGATAATTACGAATCTGAACTCAAAAATTGAAAGTTCGAAAAGTTGATCCAATTTGGCGGACGGAAATGTTACGGAAATCCTAAAGATTTTTCAATTTTGGTGAAATTTGGTTACAGGTAGTTTTTGGGGACGTTCGTTACAAATCCGTATTTAAAACTTGAAAGTTCAAAATGGCGTTTTGATTCAGTCTTCTAAAATCTGTTTTCGTCAATCTGACGGATGGAATATAAGGGGGATTTGGGTTTTAGTGTGTTTTTTAAGTAGAATTTAAATTAGCAAAAAAAAGCCCTTGAAGAATACGTACTTGATTTTTCACTTGCTGCTATTTTTCTTTGAAAAATGGATGGACGTGCCAACTTTAGTCTTAAGTCAGCACAGCCACACTGTGGATCGAATCCTTCGACATAAACGATGAGCAAAAAAATTCGGATTCTGGATATTCTTAGAGCAAATAATTCTAGAAACATTTTGAGACTAAAATGATCCCGGCAATTGATTGCTTTAATGTACTTTACTCTTGTACGCGACCCAGCACAGCCACACTGTCTGTGGGACGAATTTTTCGACGTAAACGATGAGCAAAATATCGGATTCTGGATATTTTTAGAGCAAATAATTCTAGAAACATTTTGAGACCAAAATGGTCCCGGCATTTGATTGCTTTAATGTACTTTACTCTTGTACGCGACCCAGCACAGCCACATTGTTGGTCGAATTTTTCGACGTAAACGATGAGCAAAATATCGGATTCTGGATATTCTTAGAGCAAATAATTCTAGAAACATTTTGAGACCAAAATGGTCCCGGCAATTGATTGCTTTAATGTACTTTACTCTTGTACGCGACCCAGCACAGCCACACTGTGGGTCGAATTTTTCGACGTAAACGATGAGCAAAAAATTCGGATTGTGAACATTCTTAGAGCAAATAATTCTAGAAACATTTTGAGATCAAAATGATCCCGTCAATTAATTGCTTTAATGTAATTTACTCTTGTACGCGAACCAGCACAACTACACTGTGCTTCGAATTTTTCGATATAAATGTTGAATAAAAAAATAAGCTCAATATTGTTTATCAAAATGGTAGAATTAATGTGGCGATTGAAAACAATAATGAAATTCTAAAGGTTTTCAAATTTCAGGGAAATTTTGTATTAGTAGGAATTAGAGGAGTTGTTGATTTTAAAACAAGTTTCAAAGAAACATAATTCATAATATTGAAAAAGAGCATAATGGACCATCGCGCGCGTAGCACGCGCAAGGAATGTGCTAGTATGTAAAAAAAATTTTCGAATATTAAAAAAAAATTAAAAATTTTTGAAAAATTAATTTTTAGATACAATAGTTCTGATGATAATTCCTGATTCTTTTTGACGATACGAAGAGTTCTCTATGATTTTTAATGACATATGCGCTTAATAATCATTTTTTAATAATTTTTTAAAAATGGGGTGCTAACTTTTTAACGAAATTCAAGGTCGCATAGTTCTGATCAGCTTGACAGAACTATTTTATGAATACCTAGAGTTCTTGATAAATAAAAATCATTTTTGAAGAATTATAAAGTTAAAAAGAATAGTAGAAATCTTTGAAAATTTTTTTGATAGTACCAAGTAGTTCTGAGTAGCGTTTTTTTATAGTTCTCGGCGAGTTCTATCGAAAACTGTAAGGTGTAAAAGCAATTGGACCAACGGTTTGCAAGACACAGCGACATTTGTTAGGAGATCAATAATTTTTAGAGTGAGTATATCTCGGAAACCGTTGGTCCAATCGCTTTAAGCCCTGATACTTTTCGACAGAACTCGCCGAGTACTGTCCAGAACTCCGAACATTTGTTATATTTTGTAAGATCACGCAATTTTTAAATGAGTATATCTCAGAAAGCTATTAAGCCGCTCAGAACCATTCCACCTCGAATTTTTATCGAAATTTGATAAAAAGTTAGTATCCCATTTTTAAAAAATGTTTATTGAGCGGAACTCTTGTTATTAACTATAGGGAACTCTTCGTCTCGTCAAAAGGAGGTGAGAACTCTAATTAGAACTCCTGAGTACTATAGTTGGGGTGCTAACTTAACATACTCATATAAGACTCAGCCAAATAGAGTCATAAAGCTAATTCCGAACACGGCTTCTTCTGATTTATCTTAATTTTATAAAGAGATAAATATTGTGTTTATAAATTTTGCATTACCAATACATAAATTTAAAATTTTTTTTTTCCACGAATACTTAAAAAGCACGTTCTACAATATATAATTTTAGTATGAATTAGTAGGATGATTGAACTATTATAAAAAGGTTGGAATTCCTGAATTCTTGGAAAATATAGAAAAGTTTTACAGAAAAGTGTTTCTGACGAAAGTTATAGGGTTTAGAAAAATCTATTTACTGATCTGTTATTACTTTGACTTTGGATAGCGTCACCAAGGTCAAGTCAAGGACACATCGTTTTTTTTTAATTGCTCTATTTTTTATTACATATTCTTGTAAGTTATCTCAAGAACTTTTTAATATACTATTATAAAGTTTATTTTCATTGAATACTTTTCGACTTATGAGACTTGAAAGTTACAGTGCTACCGACGATAGCATTACCCAGGATCCAATGGACGGCTAAAACCTCTTGTTGTTTGGGATCATGATTTAGATAATATTTGTTATGATTATGTCCATTGGAGATTGTAACTTTCATTTTCATTTTTGCATCAAAAATTTATTTTTCATAAAAATGAAAATAAGACATACAATTCCCAATAGCCGTGGTCATGATAAATATAAGGGTCTTCCATTGAAAGGTTTTATTTTAATTTAATAAAAAAGCGAATAAGTTTTTGAAAATGTTGAGATGTATTTATTCTAATCCAAAGTACAGATTGTGGAACACAATATGAGCTAAATAACCGCCTCGACTTTTCTTATAATTGAACATTTTTTTGAGGAAATTTTTAACCATGTTTTTGCGCAATTCCGGTTTAATTTCGCCAACCAATTGGAATATTGTCTTTGAGCGTCTGAAGCAGAGTATTTATGTTATGCTCGTGCTCTATTATGCATTTCATGTGCGTAAAGACATAGACAATGGACTGCGCGATCCCGTATCTAATAGCGTTTTCGATTAACCGACTCGACCCGACTCCGGGTCGGGTTGACTTCGATCACAAGTTCGATTTGAGACTCAATACCTGCATTGACCTGCACAGTGTCATGGCGGAAGAGTTGTCTTCTATAACCTCAATAATAATACCTCAGAAATAATCAGAAATTATTTATCTTACCTACTTTAAATGATATATACCATTTATCGACTCGCACAATTTTCGTAAGATAAACAATTTCTGATTATTTCTGTCGGGTCGAGTCGGTTAATCGAAAACGCTATAAGTAGTATCAAAATGTGATCGGTGAAAATGAGAGAGAGGGTCCGTGAAAGACGGCCATCTCTATCTTTTTCCATTCAATGGTGTAATGGAAGAGAGAATGAGAGGGAGATGGCTGTCTTCCATGGTCCCTCTCTCTTGTCCCTATCGACCATTTTGACACACGAATTGCACAGTCCATTTTCTATGGCTGCATTCCGTTTCACGCATATGCGCGCATTCCCCTATAATATACGTGACGCTCACTATATAAAATGCGCGCATATGCCTGAAACGGAACGCAGCCTGTCTTCGCATGTGCGATATGCCTAGTTCACACTAGGCGCGATGAGCGATGCGCGACGAGCGATAATCAATAAGAACTCTGCTTTACACCGTCGTGTTAACAAAAGCAAAGCTTTTATTGGATATCGCTCGTCGTTCATCGCCCATCGCATCCAGTGGGTGCATCCAGAAGCACGACCGCTCATTGAGCGCCCAGTGAGCTCTTGTACATGTTTGGTTTATATATTTAGATCTAATAGAATATGCCAATCAGATAAAAAAGCGCTTAGTGAGCGGTCGTGGTTCTGGATGCACCTAGTGTAAACTAGACAATAGACTTTAGAATTGGGTCAGAGTTCAAAAATCGACCAACCACAGTCGAGCATTCCTCTCTCATTTGACTGTAAGATGAGAATACTCGCATGTGGTTGGTCGGTTCTTGTACACTAACCCAATTCTAACCCTCGGTGGAAACATAGACCTCTGTTACACGGTACGCTTTAAGGAGCCTACAGACCAGAGCGGCGCAGCGGTGAAGCAGCGAGCGATAGCCAATGA